AAGGGTATATTTATTAAATTATTTTGAATAAAGAAATGATTTCTGAAGATTATATGAGCTGTTTCTTTTCTAATATAGTTTGTTGCACAAATGGTTGGAGCTTTAAATTATATTCACCAAAACACATTATTTATTGAGATATAAAACCAGAAAATTTGTTCTGTACACACAAGTCAAAGATAAGTTATACGTATCAATTTACATTTAAAAGAATGTTTGTTCAATTAGTTTTGCTTTAATATATCAGGTGTAAAACATTTTGTGGTACATTGGATTATCTTCCACCAGAAATGGTTGAAGGCAAAGAATATGATGAAAAGATCAACATTTGGTCACTTGGTGTTTTGTGCTATGAACTTCTGACTAGTACCATATTATTTGAAGAACCTGGTCATATTGAAACATATAAATGAATAGCCAAAGTTGAGTTTACCCTACCTGATCATTTGTCATTTGAGGCTTGTGACTTGATTAACTTGGTAACTATTCTTTAAATACTTAGAGTATTTTGACTAACGAAGTTAAGTGTTGATTTTAATTTTCTGATTACAAATGTAGTTATTATGACGTGATCTGAACAACATCTACCTTTGAAAGATATCCTAAAACATCTATGGATTCAAAAATATAAGAAAAAGCCATGAATAAATATTATATTTGTTAAAATTTCATTGTTACATCAAGTAGTAATATTTGTCTAGATATTCTAGCACTATAAAAACTCGATGATAGTAAAAAATTAAACTGCTTGCAAAGTTAGATATTTTTATTTTTAATCTATGATAATAAGAATGTGAAATGTGTCCTGAGCTCTCATTTAATAATACACTGTTAACTTTTTACATTAGTAAGTAAGCACAAAAAGAATAATAAATAAAATAAATAATAGCATATATATCAAAATTTGGCAGATGATACAATATGTAACATATTATTTCAATTATCATTATTGAAGACCAATGTTATTACCATATATTACCGAAAATAAGCACCCCTTGGAGAAATTGTTATAGCCAAATTTCTCGTGATCTAGTAATCGAATTTGTGTAATTTTGGTACTATTCAAATCAACTTATCAAAATGATTCGAATGATACCAAAATTATGCAGATTCAATTACTAGATCACGAGAAATTTAGCTATAAAAATTCCTCTGAGGGGGTGCTTATTTTCGGTAATATATGGTAAATCAAGGTGAAATTGTTTCTTTTATATGCATTTTTTTTTCTTAGCCATTCAAGTTTAGAAACCTTAGTTTCAACCTGGTTGTGAATCAGCTGTAGTAATTTCTAACTTATGCCAATTTGTGTATTTATATGGCTCTTTTATTTATTGTGGCAGCTAATATTGAAATTAGCTGATGCTGAAAAATTTAAAAAATTTTGGGCCCTTTGTGTGGGGGTTTTTTTTAGAGTTAGGTTAAGATTAAAATTATTAGTAAAAGAGTA